CAAGTTCCGCCATACTGCCCCTCCTCGATCCCCTCATAAAGCCTCCGCCGCCATTGCCGCCCCCACCACCTCCAGCGCCTGCTCCACCTGAACCCTCCCCGCCGCGGCCACCGCCGCCCAAGCCGCCGCCGCCCAGGCCGCCGCCGCCGCCCAAGCCGCCGCCACCCAAGCCGCCGCCGCCCAAGGCGCCGTCGCCGCCGCCGCCGCACTCGCCGCCGCCGCCGCCGCCGCCGCCGCCGCCGCACTCTCCGCCGCCGCCGCCGCCGCCGCCGCCTCCCGCATCACGTCCCTCGCGGAATCCCGCGCCACTGCCGCCGCCTCCACCGCTCGCCCGGAGAACATCCCGGCCACCGCTCCTTCCTCCGGCCGAGGCGTCTCCCAGGGCGAGGCCCGTCAACATGGACTCGTGGCCTGCGTGGGTGAGAGACATTGCCGCCCGCGTGCCGATGGACCTCTGGCCGACATGGGTTTGGGAGATGGCCAACGACAGCACTTCGACGCAGAGGCGGGAGGCACCAGGTTGACCTTGACGCTGTGGTGTAATATGTTTTGTCGTAGAGTTTTTTTCTTTTTTCTGACACACACAACACGCCCGCATCCAAATGGCAAAACGTCCACGACACACGACACCTCCCTCCTCGCATTATAACGTTTCCGCGACCGGCGGCGTGTCTGCGTCGCGCGTCGTCGTTCGGGGGGGCGCAGCGGTTTACTTCTCCTGCAGCTTGTAGTACGTATACACGGAGAAGGCGGTGAGCGATATGGCGTAGCCCGCGAGCTGCAGCGCCGTCGCGGGCTCGCCGAGGAAGGTGACGGTGAAGAGGACAAAGCCGGCGTTGCGCGCCGTGTTGAGCACTTTGAGGGTGACCGAGTTGGTCACCTTGATGACGAGGAAGGTCATGAAGGAGGCCGCTAGCCCGAGCAGCGCCGAAGCGAGGAACGTGAGAGGGTGCGCCGTCACGATACCCCACGCGCCGCGCTGGTAGGCGAGGGGCAGCTCGGTGAAGGCGGCGGCGAAGAGGAGCGAGGCGGCGCCGATCGGCGCGAGGTAGTACTGCGACTCGACGATGCGTAGCCTACGTGTACCACACCTCCAGGGTATCGAATCCAATGTGGGTTGCGGTCCCGTGGGTGGTGTGGTAGCAAAGTGAAGGCACCAGCGTCGGGGCGGCGGGAGACGGCGTGGTGCGGAATACTCTAGAGCACCGCGCCGGTACCGCTTGAGCAGCAGCTGCGTGAGCACGAGGCGCGACGCCTCGGTCAAGATCCCGGCGCACCTAAAGAGAAAAGAAACGCTGGACGGCGACATGCATGTCGCCGGGCAATCTCGGGTAATCTCGGGTAATCTCGGGGCATCTCGCCACCTGAGAGAAAAGAAACGCGGGAGCGCGACATGCGGCGACCAGGCGCCATCCCTCCCTTGGGTGGTCTGCTTTTTCTTTTCTTTCAGGCGCCCTCGGCGACTGCTGATAGCGGGCAATCTCGGGTAATCTCGGGTAATCTCGGGGCATCTCGCGCGCCGAAAGAGCACCCCGACCGGGTGGAAGTGGCCCTCACCATAGGAGGAGAGGGCGCAGCCCGCGCCAATCATCAGCACCGCCTGCGATATGGCCCGCGATGGCCCGAGATGGCCCGAGATGGCCCGAGATTCCCCGCGCCAATCATGAGCGCCGCCTGCGTCGCGCGCGCCGTCGGCGTCTCCACGCCGGTGAGGTAGAGGAGCAGCAGCGTCACAGAGGGCGTGAAGGCGGAGAGCATCTGAGTGAAGGTGATTGTGAGGTACCTGCATCAGGCCAGGTACACTTCTCCACACACACGAGGTGGTGGGGGCAAGGGCCAGGCGACCCTCGCGTCTCCACGTCTGACGACAGGAGCCGCACGGCATTCAAAGTGCAAGGCCCAGTGCGCGTGGGTGAGCGGTGTGTGTGTGTGTGTGTGTGTGTGTGTGTGTGTGTGTGTGTGTGTGTGTGTGTGTGTGTGTGTGTGTGTGTGTGTGTGCGTGTGTGTGTGCGTGTGTGTGTGTGCGTGTGTGTGTGTGTGTGTGTGTGTGTGTGTGTGTGTGTGTGTGTACCTGCATCACTCACGACGGTTGGCTCACAGCGCGTCGTCAGGAGGCCTCCGCGTGAAGGTGGGGGGGAGGAGGCACATGTACGCCGCGTTGCCGCAGGCGAATGTGACCGCCTGCGCCACGCCGATCGGCACCATGCTGCGCAGCCAGAAGCGGTACGACGGCCGCCATCGCCCGCGCGCCGCCTGGTACCGCACCTCCGCCTCCTCCTCCTCGTCGTGGCAGCTGTCCTGCAGACCGCACACAAGGAACTCGTTCCTGAACGGAGTCCTCCGCCTCCTTGCGGCAGCCGTCCTGACAGCCTCGGCTGCATCTCGGCCGCATCTCTCGGCCGCATCTCGGCTGCATCGCGGCCGCATCTCTCGGCTGCATCTCGGCTGCATCTCGCTCTCCTCCGTCGCCGAGCAGCTGCTGTTGCTCCGCTGGAGCCGCGACGGGATCAGCCGGCCCGTGCCCGGCGACTCGCCCCCGTTGTGGCTCCTGCTGACCGCATCGTACGCCCCGCCCACCGCAGCGCCGGGGGGGTCGCCCAGCGTCGAGAGCGGCAGCTGGCTCGCGGGCGTCGCCAGCTGCGGGTGGACGCGGATCGCGACGGCGCAAAAGGTGGCGGTGGTGCAGAGGCCGATGGCGGAGAGGGTCATCGGGTACGGGAAGCCGAGCCCCTTGATGATGTGGTTGTTGACCACGATCACCGCCGGCCCGAAGAGAGAGTACGCGGTGCACACAGCGATCACCTCGAGGCGCCCGCTGCACGAAGAGGCGGCGGAGCCGAGGTCGGTGCCGAAGAGAGTGCGGCCGTGCAGCCGCCCGCCGCTCGCCGCCGCCGCAGCGCCGTGCGAATCGCCGGTCAGGTGCTCCAGCTCGGCCGACGAGCAGCTCCTGCTCGGGCTCGCGGGCGCCGGCTCGCTCTCCACATGATCCTGGTCGTCGACCGAGTCACCGTGGTCGGACCCTTTGCTCTTGTCCGCGGAGGCCGATCTGAGCGAGCCGGCCCAACCTTGCATCGCGGAGCTGCGGAGCTGTGTGCGAAGCAGCGCCGGGGCCGGGTGCTGTGGAAGAAAAACATCTGGCACTTGCCCTCTACTCGGAGCTAGTGGACACAGACGCGACACCACACGTCACGTACATACACGACTGCCTAAAGTAATCGTGTACATCGGTCATCGCCCGGCTCCCCAGGGCGGCCCCGTCCCCCGCCCGTCAGGGTGTGAACCTTCGAGAGGTTGGCTTTTCTCCTGTGTGTGCTGTGACCGCGCAGGCCGCGGCGAATAACAGCGTGTGTGGTGGCGCAGTTTTCTTCGCACAGAGGGCACGCGAGGTACGACCGTGCCCGGCCGTGCTATTAAAGCGACTCGGCTCTCCAACAGGCTGCAGCCCAGAGCCACACGGAGTCTACGCGCATCGCTTGTGCATAGCCTCGACCAATCTCCTGTTCACGGTGGAACCGTGAACAAAGAGCTTCTTCGAACCGTTACAAACACTGACGCGAGCCGCCCAGCAGGGAGCCTGGGCGACTCGCTTTAGTTGCTTTAGACTGCGACGACCGACGAGAAAGGCCTCTGCGCCTCGAGGCGGCACACACGCACGTCGCACGATCCACTCGCACACAACACAAACAGTTTACACGCACGCGCGCGGCGCACACACACAAAGCAGACGAGAAACGAATTCAAGCACGAATCTCGCAAGCTGGACCTGGCGGGCCATCCATACTTGCAACCCAGGCGCGTGCCGCTGTGCCGGTATGCACCGTGGTGCTCCCTGGCCGGCCCTTCGACCAAGGGCTTGGCGAGAGCTCGGCCCGTGCGAGCATCGCCCGCCTACTTGGTCTTGGCGGCCGCCGCCAAGGCCTGTGCCGGCACGATGTATGCCTTGTACATCGCGCAGCCAAAGGTGATCTGGAATGCAACGGCTATGCTCAGGTTGAAAAAGAGGTCGTACTCCCTCTCACTCCACTCCTTCCACGGGCCCAGCGGCGTGTACCTGGCCCAGGGGCCGGAGTGCAGCGGGCCCATGGCCATCAAGACGAGCCGCTGCACTCCAAAGAAGAAGAAGCACGACGCGAACATGATCATCGATGCTTTGTGGTCGGCAATCTGCTTGTTGCGCGCCTGCAGCACGCCCTGGATGCCAAAGTAAGGGATTCCGAGGACGGCCGGGTACTCGGCATACTGGGCGATCGGCTTCTCCGTCATTCCTGCGATCAGCATGGCAAAGCCGGGCGTAGCGGCCAAGGCGACGAGGATCGTGATCCGGCCAAGGACGCGGTGGGCCGTGATCGCCTTCTGGCGCACCACCTTCAGGAACTGCACACAGAGCGCGACCGAGAGGAAGAGCGTGATCGCGAGGTGCGCGCGAATTTGCGCCTTCTTTTCACCGTAGTAGGGCGTGAGCATGCTCTTCCAGTATGCGACGCCGGCCTCGTTCAACGGTAACGGCGCTCCCTTGAGATCGGCGATGACCTCGTCGAACGACATGGAGAAGTAGCCGGCGGTCTGCTTGGCTGACCAGACGACGGTTAGAAGCGTGCCGACGAACTGGGCCCATTGCCAGAAGCCCATTGCCGCGCCGACGCCTTTTGGGGGTAGCTACCCGGTAGCGACCAAAAAAAACAATAAGATAATCGAAAAAAAATCTGGCTTTCCGCAGCTATGACAGGAGCGAGTTCGCGCTGCGCTAGGCTCAGACGGCGAGTTCGCGCTGCGCTAGCCGATCCCGCAGCTGCCCGCCCCGCCCATACCACAGCCGCCTATGCCCAAGCCACCCATGCCGCCGCCGCCGTTCCCGCCGCCGCCCATGCCGCCGCCGCCCATGCCGCCGCCGCCCATGCCGCCAATGCCGCTGCTGCACGAGCCGCCGCCCGTTGCGTTGGGCGCGGCCGGCGCTGGCTGAGTTGCGGAGATCAAGTCGAATTGCTGGGACATCACGTTGCCGATCCCGTTGCCGCTACCCATGCCGCCACCCTGCGGGTTGCCGCTAACCCATCCCGTTGGCGTAGCTTCTCCGCCGTTGCCGTTGCCGCCTGGGCTAGAGAGCGTCGTGGCTGCGAGGCAACCCAGCTCAGCGAATGGATCCATTGAACAGCAGGTGGCGAAGAGAGCAGACTGAACCTGGTTTGTGGAGCTCCCGCACCTATTCTGACAGAGACCTGGCGCCGTTCTCACAGCGTTCTGACAGCGTTCTGACAGTGTTCTGACAGCGTTCTGACAGCGTTCTGACAGCGCAAAATCCTCCCGTCTCTTCACAGCTCAGGGGTTCTGACGTTCCCAGTTGCCCCGCTCCTTCCCTCTTCCGACGTGTCTCGATCACTTTCGCCTCTATTTAGAGCCTCTAAACAATAGCGCGCAATGGACCTGCGATGCGCGTGCTCTAGCTGCTACTGAACGAGCTCCACAGTGCGCAGAACTGCCTGCGGCATCACGTGAAAGCTCCAGGCGTCAACACAGGCGGCCCAGCAGGCGTGAACACCGGCCTCCTCCGCGCGAGCCGTGTAGGGTGCACGTGGCGACCCACACGCGCCAAGAGACAGTCACAGACGGGTAGCTCCGCTCTCTCACTCCCCCCCCTGCCCCTCCTCCTCGAGGTAGTAGAGCCAAAGCACAAAGTCCTCGGCGAACCGGGGGCTCACGTCGACCAAGTCCACCTCCGCCTACAAACCCAAAAGCACACGGGTGGGAAAAAGAAAGACGGCGGCCTTGTCGACGCAGTCCACCTTCCGCCTTTGCGTACCGCGCCACTCGCACGCGCGGACCAAATCGCCTCGTGTGCTGCGGAGCGCACGCAGCGGGCGCGGTGGCTACGCCGCCCGCCGCCGCCGCTCCCGCCGCCGCCGTGCCCGCCGCCGCCGCCCCCTCCGCCACCGCGTCAGGCTGGAGGAAGCTCGTGTGGAGGTGCAGCCAGCCTAGCTCGTCCGCGGTGCGGCCTCCTGTTCACGGCAGCAGCCGTGAAGAGGCGCCGTTCACAGCGACTGTGCGGTGCGCGCGGATTTCTGTGTTGCCCGCGGCGGCGCGCGCGGCGGCGCGGCGGCCGCCACCGAGAGCTCGCAGGTTGAGAAGGGAGAGGAGCACCTAGAAGGGAAAGACAGCGGGGTAAAAGTGAGACACCTTGGCAGGCTGAGGAGGGGGAGCAGCACCACCCCGCAGGCGTGCACCCCTTAGACTCCCTGAGATTCTCCTAGATTCCCTTAGATTCCCTCACCTCCCCGCAGGCGTGCACCCCGCCCGCGGGCAGCGCCAGCAGCACCTCCCCGTCATCCGGCGCACATACCACCGGCGGCGAGACACCTAAAAAAGAAACACCGCGGTAAAAAGAAACACATTGCCGCACGACCGGCGGCGAGTCACCTACAAACGAAGCACGGCGCTAAAAAAGAAACACGTCGAACGCGCAGAAGTCTCCCGGCGGCGAGACACCTAAAAAGGAAACACGCGATGATGAAAAAGAAACACGCGGTGGCGCACAAGATCTCCGGCGGCGAGTCACCTAGCCGCACCGGCTCCGCTGCGACGCCGTCGGCTCGCTCCCGCGCCTCGACGAGATTAAGAGGAGAGTCAGAGGAGGCTGGGTCGCGATTTCGCTAGAGTGCACTCGCCATCTACGGTGATTGGGCGAGATTGGGCGAGATTGGGTGAGATGTGCCGGAGGTCAGCTCCCGCGCCTCGACGGCGCTGGCCGAGAGCTGCAGCAGCCAGGAGGAGCCGGCGGCGCTGCCCCAGGAGGAGAGGGCGCTGCCGAGGGCGCTGGTGACGCTCACGACAGAGACCTGCCCAGGCGTGGCGGCGGCGGCGGCGGCGGCGGAGGCGGAGGCGCCCGAGACACGGACAGCTGGAGCACGAGAGAGGCCGACAGCGAGGAGAGTGACGGGGGCGCCCTGCAGCAGCCGCGGCCGCTCGACCTCGGGCGTGGCGGCGAGGGAGGCGAAGTGGTGCACGTACCGCACTTGCGATGGGTTGACCACGGCGTCCCCGTCGGACGTCCGCACCCTGCGAAAGAAGGACAGGGCCGCACCCGCGTCCTCGCACCCCTCGTGGCGCGACCAGACCAGGTACGCGGCGAGCATGACGCCGGTGCGCCCCTTGCCCGCCTTGCAATGCACCGCCACAACCGGCGCCTCACCCGCCGGCGCCACCCACCCCTCCTCCTCTCCCTCGCCGCCGCCGCCACCGCAGCGGCAGCAGAGGTCGCCACCGCCGCCGCCGCCGCCACTACCGCCTCCGGCGCGCTGCAGAGTTCTTTCCCGTGTTCTGTTGTACCGATTTAATTCGGGACGGCCCTCCCGCCGCCCGCAACGCCGCCCGCAACGCCGCCCGCAACGCCGACCGCAACGCCGCCCGCAACGAAGCCAACACCGCCGCCCTCCCCGCCACCCGCGCCGCCACCCTCCAGCGGGAGCACATCCGACTCCGCGCCCGCGCCCATGCCTCCGCTCCGCCCGTCCGCAAGAGCAGGAGGAGGCGGAGGCGGCGGAGGCGGCGGAGGCGGCGGCGGAGGAGGAGGAGGAGGCGGAGGAGGAGGCGGAGGAGGCGGAGGTGGCAGAGGCGGCGACTTGGAATGCCCGATGATGCGGAGGGCCTGGTCGATCGCGACGCAAAAGGCGAGGATCTGCTGCAGCGGAGGCGCGTGGTGGTCTTCGGACGGGTACCGGAGGACGGCGGCGGCGGAGGGGAAGTCGGCATCGAGGTAGTCGCGCTCGTTGCACAGGTTGACCAGGGTGAAGCCTCCTCGGCCGTGGAAGCGCTCGAGGAAGGTCCGCACCTCGGAGAGAGGGTTGCGGTACAGCGGCTCCAGCAGGCCTGAGGCGGGCAGGCCGAGCGCGAGCAGTGTTGGAGTGACGTAGGTCAAGTCGAGGTCGAAGCCGTCACGGCGGAAGCGCTGCTTTGAGCCAGACACGAGCCCTCGCAGCCGCCGCAGCGGTGGCTGAGCGGCCTGCGCCCCAGCAAGGGCGATGGTGCCCTCGTAGCCCGCGCGGGCGAGCGAGGAGAGGACGGCGAGCGTCGGTGAGCCCTCGTCCACCTCGGCTGGAGAGAGCTCGCCGAGCCACTGGCGCAGCCTCCCGGCGGGGACCGCCCGAACCGGACGGATGTCGGGCGACGGTGCAGCCTCGGCGGGCTCGCTCTCCTCGGCGCCTTCAGCCTCGGCGGCGCTCTCCTCCTCCGCCCCGTCCGGCAGCGTGGACTCGCTCATCGCCCGCCACACTGGCACGACACAAGGGATCCAGGCGGCGGCGGAGGCTGCGGCCCACCACGTGAAGAGGAAGGGCCGTAGCGGCGAGTATCGCTACGCGAGCCGTCTTATCACCAGGGTTCGGACTTTTTGCGGGGTATGGTACCCTCTAGCAACCCACCTCGAGACCATACCCCCCCCGCCTGCTGACAGACCCAGCCTCCCGGAGACCGGGGATGGGCGGTCAGGACCATACCCCCCCACCCTTTGGGCCGCGAGGGTACCATACCATACCCCGCAAAAAGTTGGAACCCAGGCATAAAAGAAGGAAGAAAAAAAAACGACGAAATTTTGACACCGGCGTGGTCGTCGCGCGACGGCGAAGACGGGGCAGGCAAAAACAAATCGCGGCGCGGCCGTCGGTTGGGCGCCTGGTAAAACGGCCGCACGTGAACATGGGGCACGATAATGGATGGGATAGGTAGAGCGGTTTAGTGGTCCGAAGGAATCAAGGCAGGGCAGTGAGCTCGCAGGCTGCTCAGTCGCCGTCGCCGCGTGTCAAGTCAGGACAGAGGACACGCCCGGCCGCTGCGGCGTCTAACACCAGCGTCGCCGTAACCTGGGAATCGGACCGCCGCAAGCGGCGTGGCGTGGAGCGGTTGAGCATTCCTCCGGGGGGCCCCTCTGCGCCGGGGAGGCGTTGTTGGAGCAGCGCCACCTTACAGGGTGCGGTTCAATGCACACATGTATATTCACGCAATTCTATAGAACTCAGGAATAAACCGGCACCTGCGCACTTACAAGCACTTACAAAACAAAGTTCATACGCTTAGGCACACTTAACGCTTGTTGAGAGGTGCATCGCAAACTTCTTCTTTTCGCCTCTCATTCTCTCGCTGGAGTGCGCCTAGGCGCGGCCATGATCCCTGACCCCTGTGCCGCTGCGCTATCTCGGGCTCTTCTAAAAATCGCGCACACGGGTAGCGGCTCTAGGGCCCAGTAAGTCGCGGAATCGCCAAATGTCACAACCCGCCTCACCCAGGGCTGGACCTAGTCTTTACGATCACCCCGGCCTCGGCGTCATGTCCTCGGCGTCGCGGCTAGGTGTTCGTTGACGTCTAGAAAGAAGAATTCGAGTAGAAATCGAGTCAGCACATCCTTGTAGTACAGCGGACCGCCAGGCTCGCCGGCAGCATCCGCAGGGAGGCAGCATATGAGGCACCAGTCTTCTGCGAAGAGCTCAACAGCTGCGGCCGCGATGGTCTCTCTCTTCTTGGGTGGCGAGGCACTTAGCAGAAAGAAAACAGAGATTCAAGGGAGGGATGGGAGGACGGCACGCCGCCACCACACAGGGATTTTAAGAAGAGGGGTGTGGTGCGCTATCCGTCGCCCACCCTTGGGCGTCCGCCTCTTCCTATCTCACTTCACAGTCTCTCGGCCCTTCCCCGTTCACCCGCCATCGCAGTACAGTGCTCGGCCGCTCGTCGATATGGAGGATGGCGTCTCGGCTTCGGACGCTCTCGAGCAGGCGCAGCTCGCGCACGTCGCGGCCGTCGAGCGCGAGCACCATGCGCAGAGCGAGGCCTGGGCCGCGGTGCACGCACGGCAGCAGGAGGAGTTGCGGGCAAAGGAGGCGCTGCTGGAGGAGCGAGAGGACGACATCGAGGAGCTGAGGCTCGAGCTCGGAAGCGCGAGAAAGATCCACGATCTCGAGCTCCAGAAGAAGGAGCTCCGCATCAACGAGCTCGAGGCCCGTGTGCAGGAGCTGCTCACGCAACTCGCCACCCTCTCCGCCGCCGCTCCGGCCGCCACCGACCCGGCCGCCACCAAGTGCCCGGAGGCGGCGCAGTCGCCCTCCTCCTCCTCCTCCCCGCCGCCCTCCTCCCCGCCTCCCTCCTCCTCCGCCCCTCCCCCGCCGCCCAGGGACGGAGGCGCGCCAAAGCCCCTCACCCGCCGCCTCTCCCTCGAGGAGGGACTCATGCCTCGCACGCCAGGCCATCCTAGAAGCGGAAGATTCGGAGTCTTGCATGCAACGAGCGCCCGGGAGAGAGGGCGCGCATTCAGCTGTACTCAGCCGTCTTCGGCCGTCTCCACTCTCCTCGTAGCCCCTCGCATTCACGCGGTGCTCTGAAGACGCTGCAGAAGGCCGCCCTCCCGCCCTCCATGTCGGGGTCCTTACAACGTGGTAGGCCAGAAACGCCCGCCGCCGCCCGGCGGCGGCCGCTCGCGCCGCCGCCGCTCGTGCCGCCGCGGCTCGCGCCGCCGCCGCTCGCGCCGCAGCCGCTCGCGCCGGTGCCGCTCGCGCCGCCGCCGCTCCCAACCCAGCCTGGTGGTCTCACGCCGCCGCCGCCACCGCCGCCGCTGGCCGTCGGAATGCGGCCGCCTCCGCCTCCGCCGCCGCCTCCGCCCGGCGCGCCGCCGCCGCCGCCCGCGCGTGCGGGTGGGTGGGCCGGCGCGGGGTCGCCGCTTCTGTCTCCGGGCGGGCGGCGCTCCAAGCCGAGAGGAGTGTGCGAGTCAGTTGCGCACGGCGCGACGTGTTGTTCCTTAGGCGAGGTGCGCTCCAAGCCGATGAGTGTGCTCCAGTGGGAGAAGCTGTCGATGGGGAAGCTCGCGCACACGCTGTGGGGAGACGGAGGGAGCGACGGCGGCGCCAAGGGCGCGGCGGGGGCGCTCGAGAAGCTCATGGAGCCGGGGCGCGCCTTCGAGATCGACATCTCCGCCCTCGAGGGCCGCTTCGCCCGCCCCGACCCGTCCGCCCGCTTCCGGCGCGCCGAGAGCGACAACTCGGACAGGTCGACAGTCGGCTCCGCGGACGGGGGCACGCCGCGCGCGCGCGTCTCCCTCCTCGAGCCGAAGCGCTCCACGTCGGTCGGCATCGCCGAGAACACGCGGCGAACTGTTCGTGCTGCGGACGTTGATGAGACTCTCTTCCGTAGGTCGGCATCGTCGAGAACGCGGCGACGCTTTCTTCTCTCGAGATCCGCACGGGTCTTTTCTGTTTTTCGGTAGGTCGGCATCGTCGAGAACAAGCTGCGCGGCGCGCTGGGCGGCAAGCCGCTGCGCGACGCCATCCTCGAGGTCGACGACTAACCCTAACCCTAACCCTACCCCTACCCCTAACCCTAACCCTAACCCTAACCCTGACCCTAACCCTAACCCTAACCCTAACCCTAACCCTAACCCAACCCAACCC